CTGCCCGCAAAGGGCATAGCTGGTCTTTCAGTGAGCCTTCGAAAATTCCCCTGAAAAACTGAGGGAACATGCAGCAGCTCACCATGAAAAGCGTTTGTAATGAGGGAAGCGCACATTGTAGCAAGCAGCTTGGAAGCATGTGCCAATGCGTGCGCTTAGCATATCCTTATTTGGCTTCATTCAGGTTCGTTCCTTGCAGAAATCGCCAGCCTGCGCGGCGATGTTCTTCGAGTATGCAAAGGAGTTTGCATCCATGATGCCCAAGGAGCCATGGCTACAGCCACCGTCTCTAAAGTTAAACCTCAGCTTAGGTGCACGGACACATCAGTGATCATTAATGCAATCATCCGCTTAGCTTGTAGCGGTACAAGTATAAGTATTGAGCGTGCACTTCCTGTGCAATCAAGATCCTGCAGATCGTGCCTCTGAACTTGTGGTACCCCATCGGTCTCTGAAAAAAAAGCAACAGCCAGGAGCCAGGCTACCTGGATCGCGCGACCCAGGTGGGGTTAAACGGTATGACTGCTGGATATATCTCGCACATCAGCTGCACTCATTCTGAATTGTCAGCACGTGAGGGCAAACTCAAATCAGCTTCTTTGCAGTCCTCTCTCGCGGAGCGCTGCTGCAAGATGACGCGGGTCTACCAGGAGCTGCTAGGTCTTGTGCAGTGTAGTAGATCTCAGACGCTTGGCTTGGAACATTAGTGGACTTTGCAGGCAGGTAGGCCACCTAAGCAAGCCGCAGCATATCGTAAGCAGAGCTGCATAGCACTCAAGCAGGAGATGTATCCAGACGAGAAGTTCAGGCCGGAAGCATGTTGTGCAGGGCAGGAGTCCGTATTCACGGGTCCCGCAGGTCTTTCATTTATGCTTTGTACAATCCCAGTCAAATTGAGTCACATTCTGAGAGCCAAACATGCTGATGTTGGATGCAGCTCAGGGGCCAGGTGGCCTACGGATACCGGCAAACTGATTGCAACTCCCAAGCCCCAAGCCTTGAACAACTTGCCACATGCACTGGTGGTCGGCAAAATGCGAGAAATCATGCGATAATACACATTTGAAAAAATGGTTCGAAGCCATTAAGAGATCAAACCCACCATTGCATCCGCGAGTTTTCCCCCTGGTCTCCCAGGTTGGACATACTCGGAAGCACAGAGGCGTCCTGGCAGTGTCATAGATCTTTCGGTCTGGGCTGGGGGGCTGCGACCTGTATTCGCCTTTTTTGGAGGAATCTGCCGCATTCCCACTTCAGCACTGCTTTGCCTGTCGTATGGCAGTCGTATGGTTAGCAGTGAGGCTTTTCTCTTTGCTGCCTGTTGTATACCTACAGGTTGCTCGGAAAAGAACTGCCAGGCTTTTACGATTGTGTTGCTGTGTGTTAAGTTACCATAAGCAGGGCTTCTGTGCAACAGTTGATGCTGCAAAGCTAGGTCGGGGCTGCTGAGGAGTAGTCAGTGCAAGGCCTCTCCTCTGATCTGCTACTGTAGGGGTCTGAAAGTTAGACGGACAAGCAACCAGCTTGCTCCCACAGGGCTCCGGCTCCTGAGCCGCAGAGAGCAGGCCTTCTCGAAGCCTTCATGCCTCAGAGCTAAGGAGCCGTCCGGGGAGTTTCAGGAGAGACTTGGATGGCAGAGAAATGTGCCAGATGCCACTGGGTGTGAGCAAAATTTGTCGCAAAGTTTGTATACGCAGCATGCCATGCATGCCCCAGCTGGAGCACACCTGAGCAATCTTTCTAATCATAGCTGTCCAACCTCAAAAAACCTTGCGACCAGTCAAGCTTCAAATCATTTCACTCTGCGGTCTCGTTGCGCTTGGGCAGATGCCCATCGCGCGATACCAGTACCTCTCAGGCCTGCTCAGCCTGCAGGGCTTGCTTGGCTCATACGCAATGGCTGGCTGGAAGACTTGGAGGACATGTGGAAGCATCAGAAGGCATCCTATCATGACCCATGGCCTGCAGGCCTTCTTGCCACAGGCCTTCTGCATGTAGATCGGGCTTCTTGCCGGCTTGGGGGAGTTTGGACGCCTTCCCAGGAGTCTACGCTGCCGCACCAGCTGCGATCTTGCATCCCTGAACTTCACCCGGTGCCCCTGCATGTTTCATGGATGATCAGGTTCAGGTTTGAGGTGACATGTTGACAAGAAGGGGTCTATCCATGAGAGCGCGGTTCAGCATGACTTGGGACTTCACCCTCAGATGGAGAAGCAACGTTGGCGATGTTGGCGCCAGGTGCAGGGCTCACACATCATTTTTGAGCAGCCGCAGGCCAGCCAAATGGACTACTGTGCTTGCGTATGTATCTTGACCATGGCCAGCTGCGGAGTCATCAGTCAGCGCCTGTGCATGACTTGGAGGTACACAGGTGTGTCCTCCATCGACTGTATGTGTATGCGCATACGAGGTCCCTGCTTGATGCAAGTCCTGTGCCAGGAGCGAGATCGCGCTGAGTCATCCTGCATCAGCCACTCGACATTGCAGGTTGATGGTACGTAGCGTATAAACATGCCGTCTCAGTACAGTGCAATCGTAGAGCTGTGATGCGACTCATGAGCACATTGTGGATGCAGGGTCAGTCTTGGGAGCTGGACTTGGTTGGTAGGCGGTCTGTGTCTGGGTATGGCGTGCTGTCTGTCAGAGCTCGCCGTGGGCCATGGGCGGACAGTCAGAGGCTTTCTACATTATTCTGGCATAGGGCTCTCTCAGGTCTCAAGGTTACGGGTGTCTCTTCAGAACTTTCAGCTGGCAGATGATGGCAGCATGTTGGAGAAATGGAGCGATCCTATTCGGACGTGCAAGGTATCCTGGCGCTTCTGGCAGACCGCTATGAGATCTTTACTCGGCCACAGGCTTGAAGCTTTTCAGTGGTGCTTATCCGAGGTAGCTCGAGTTGGGCTGCCAACGTCATGTAGCACTGCCAACACTTGTCTCTGAATTGTGCGGACAGTATTCCAAGTCCTGCGCGCACGTTCTTCTTTCCTCTTTTGTACACCTCGCTTTTGCTCTCAGACAGCGACGGGCACCTGAAAGCACCTGAACCTCCGCTTCATGCCAGGATGCGAACTACCGCTTGCGTCGGCAGCAGTGGGAGGAGAGACTGTGTTTTTGCGGTTTGTAACAGCAGCACCTCACGTTTGACAACTGTGCCAGATCACACAACACAGGAAGACAGGTAGGTCGCAGTTTCTTTGCAGCAACTACTTAGGCCGCCGGCTTGGTAGCTAGAAGCAGTGAAGGAGCTGCAAGACATCATCAACTGGGTTCGTCCCAGCTCAGATGACATCCATGCTGTCCTTGCTCCTTTACTTAATTCAATGGGTTTGAGGCGAGCTTGATGGTTAGGTCTTACCCGGTTTGGGGGGCAGTCTTGGAGTTCACATGCCTGCGTTGGGTGCAGAGTCAACTTGTTCGCCTGGCAAGCAGTGGTCCTTGCAAAAGAGAGAACGCATGACCAGCAAGGTGTTGATGGCAATTCGTCCGCTCGGAACCTCGACCGCATTCGGGAACTGACTAGCTTCCAAGTCACGGGAACACAGGGAAGCAGACCAGCACACCGATTTCTAAGAGACTTGCAGGTACAGCTGGGGGCAGGCAATGTTTGCGCACTAACCGACCCTGCGCAGAAGCAGGGGATAGCAGGGTCCTGACAACCTGACATGGTTGCTCAGCCGCGTGCTGGCCAAGGCAAGAGCAAGTTCGTCTCTAGTCAAGTGCCAAATCACGAGCCGCCAAGCTGCTATATCTTATCTGGCTTTGAACGTTCCCGTTCGGATGTTTTCGCGAGCGCTTCGGGGCAGGGCTATGACGAGTTGAACCTCAAAGTCTCAAGATTACCTGCTACAAAGGGTGCAATTGCCTCGACATAGCATTACAGTCTAGAGAAAGGCCCAAGATTGCCTAGCAATCACTTTGGTGAAGGATTGGTTGAGCATGAGTAATGTTGCATTGGCCGGGGGCGAAAATAAACAACGATTGAACACTGGCCAGCAACTAAACATCCTACTGCCAACTGCACCTCCCATAGTAGTCCATAGTCTAGCCTAAATATCCCGGTATGCAAATTAGTTGCATCTGATCCAGCAAGCCTGCGTCTCAGGCGGCGGCCCGAGAGTGCAGTGCTCTACCTCGTGCCTCGGCATGGCAAGCCACCATGAGTCATTTTCAATCTACGGCTGTTTTTGAATTGTTTCCTCATCACATGCAACTGTATTTGATTATCTCACAAGAAAGTACTGTCATGTTGGTCGAGGTGGAGAATTGCCAGAACGTGGTCCCCAGCATCAAGGAGACGCTAAAACACGCACGTCGCAAGTCTTCTGACCGCTGCTGGATGGGCATTTGCTTTCGGCATTTGCTTGTCGGTGTGCTTGCTCGCTGTTAGAATATTTCCTTGGCAGCATGTCTGGTTCCATGTTGAGATTTATGTGCACCATTCTGTGTCGCTGCGCCCTTTGCTTGACAGGATCTCCCGCAGCAGGGCCTGGAAACGCCCCTATGGCAGCAAAGCAGCCGCCATTCTTTAAATACCTTCCTGGAAGATGGGATTCATGTAAGTTCGGTGGCCTGGCTTTGTCATTGTTTATCCTCCAGCTCCGACGCGATGTTTCTGCGGTTTGGTCCAACAACCATCCATTTGTTGGAGTCACTGTGGTGTTGCGTGAAACTTACAAATTTCACCTCAGCAACCCCTATACAGACACCTACAATGTTCGTCCCCCAGAATATTGAGCAGAACTTCACTTTGCTAGGTAGCAATAGCCGGCAGGAAGGACCCTGGCGAATATTACCAGAAGCCCTACACAAAAACAAGAGCTGAGTGAGCAAGGCTGCGAGCAACTTTGCGATTACACTCTGTCTTCAACTTCGCGCAGATGCTTCAGGCCCCGGTGATTCCCAGTTGGGAATCTATGCTGTCTGTTTTCAACCAATCATATCAGCCGCAGTTTCCAGAGGAGCCAAGTCTGATGCAGCGTTTGATGTGCCTGGCTTGCAAGGGCGAGAACGTCCCCGCCAATGTAGCGCAGCTTCAAGAGCAGGCCAGGGAACGGGATTCTTCAGACTTCAATATGGCTACCGCTCAGTATGA